TTGGAAGTTAGTCAGATACAAGTACAGTTTGAATTTACCTAATTATTAGCCGATTTTAAAAAAGAGGTTTGACCATTTTATTTTTCTACTTTATGTGTACGTAACGTGATATTTTCAATTGTAAATTGTAAATTTTAATAATTCTTATTTATTAAATAGACTCTACCTCAAACGTGTGTGTCTCATTTAAATCTGAAAAAAAAAAACAACACTCTATCCCTTAGTGTGGTAAAATAGGGAAAGTTTTTAATGTGTTTCTGTGCTTGGCATATTCCCTAACCCTTTCAAAAGGGTCAATAATTAAAAATCTTATTAAAAATTTAAAACTAACTTCTAAACCTGAAAAGAATGAAATGATTTCCTAATAAAAGCTTCTGAAGTCAGGGTTTATACATTCCCATATTCTGTCTAAGCCCCTCCTGTAATCCCTTCGCTATAAATCAAACGAAAGAAAGTAAATTCATTTTAAAATTTATAATCATAAATCTCTGCTTTACCGGTGTGAATAGCATTTAACTTATGGTATAAGTTTAAAGTCAATTGGTTTCTTTCAAAGCTTTTAATGTAATTGCAGAAGATCTCTTGCAGTAGGAAGGTATTCAACTAATTCGCTTTCATTTTCTGAGGTAGAGCTTTTTACTCGCTTGAAATTGAAAAATCATTCTTTAACATTATTAAAGAGGAACACTCCCATTAGTTTCACGTGTTTTATATAGTAAACCAATTGACTCTTTTGATAAAACTGTTCCATCCATTACATACCTACTATAAAAGCCCCTTCCCCATAAATTGCCTCATAGGGAGATTTTCTTGGCAGTCAGGCAACGTCCAATTTAGATGTAGTATATAATCGAAGTGCATAGAAATAATCTCATCGTATTATTTAAAATATTTATCATATATATATATATATATATATAAATAAACTATTTTTAATTCTTTTATTTCCATACAGATAAAACTAAAAACTTATATTCCCATACAGTCCTACTTCCCGAGGTATCGTGCCAAGAACGTTGGCTGTGTTCCTTCGCTGAACAACTATACTTAGATTTTAATCGAGAAAATTCCAGTTTATACAGACTGTACTTAGGTTACCATCAGTAGCGACCACAGCTCGCGGATATAGTTCTTTTAGGGATTTCATCGCTGCCTCTCCGCAGATTCTATAGCAAATTCTACAAACAATGAAGTCATTATTTAGATACTTATACTTGCGTCACTAACTCACTTCAGTCATCTCTGATACCACCCTGGTTTTAAACTAGGTACCCCTAAAACCCTGTGATTTGAGGCTGCCAAAGTGCATACGCACGTGTCATTCCACTGTAGGGATTTATATGTCTCCCAAGTGACCAATGTTATATACCGTTAGGTCTTGCCATTTTCTCTAGATTTTCTTTAAGGCTCTTAAACTTAAGAAACAAAGAAAGAGTCAATAACATTTATATATCTATCTATATTCTATTTTAAATTAATATTTCGACCATTGTTTGATATAGGTACACGACTAAGGAAAGTTTATTATCCCAAAAAGGAATCTATTAAAATTGCCTTAATGAAATTTATTATGCAAATAAAATTGGACCCTCTCTCGTTCTTCGTAGTATGGCTACGACCTCGATTTTCGACCCTAATAAATAGAGATGAATATCAAAAGTAATGTTACTTCAATTTACATCTTTAGCAACGACGCCTGCTAATAAAGTGTCACGCGTGAGAAAACTGGACCGTTAGCTGACTTGACACAGTTTATTCCCTCATTCTTTATATCGAAGCTACTTTTAAGTTGTAATACTTACGGCAGATGGCTGCGTAAGGAAGTTTTAGAATAATAAAATATTGCGAGTGTTCTTTATTACTTACTAAGATTAATTACTATATTGTATTAAGAGCTTCTAAATTGATTAAAAATATTGAGTTAATAATCGTGCTGTTTAAAATGAAAATATTTATTGTGTTTACGTTACTATGTTGCCTTGTAAGAGCATGTTATTCTTATGATGAGGAAAATAAATACAAGAAACTGTCACGAAGGAAACGATACGTTTCTTTCCCTGAAGGCTCAAGTTTTTCGGTGAGTTTCCCTATATAATTTATTATTCGCCTTACATATGACTATCGATAAGTTTCTGTCACAGTTAAAGTTATATGACTTTATTTCTTCTTCTTTGACAGCCTAAAATAGTCCACTTCTGGATCTAAGCCACTCCTCTTAGTAAAGTGAAAGAAAACTGAAAACGATATGATTATTATTGAATGCCTCGATATCAGTAATAAAGGTCTCTGGTTGTTGTTACTCACAATACAATACATAGCAATATTATGCTGCTATATCAACCCGGTACTCTATCAGAGCGTAGTCCCGCTCTTTGAACCTTCAACGGTTTAGTCGATCCATTCATGTAGCAGATATATTTCAAGCAAAGCTCGGTGATTGTGGTATTTTTGAGGGAGTCTACGTTCAGTGATGGACTTGTAAAAGGCTGCAATGATGATTCTATAGAAAAGATTACAACATTTTTTTAATTTGAATAATTTATTTTATCATTATTTTATTTCGTCCAATGGATATCATAAGAGTCGACTAGCCACAAACATAAAGGGGTATTGATTTTAGAACAACAATTAGAAATTTGCAAAACCGTATTCTCGCTTGTTTATACCGAAATTTTATTAACTAACGTAGGTAGTGGAGGCGGGAGTGGGGGCGAAAAAATACTCCTTTAAACTCTCCCTCCCCTCCAGCCTAAATGTATAATTTTCAGTATATATTTTTTTGTAAAATCATATTCCCATTTTTGTGACTAAGATATTATGTGTTACTGAAACCCTTTATATATTATATATGGTACTGGAGCGGCATATATTTATGTTTATATAAATAAACAACCGCCATCAAAACCGCACATTAATCTACTGTCGCTGGAATTAATTTGTCACAGTGTCGTCAGAAGCAAATTAATATTATCATATTATATAAAGGGTTTTTAAATAAGGGCAGGTAGATGTTGAAATGAAATAAAACAAGCTGTGTGTGAGATATTAACAAAATTATTTTTTATTTGAAAGGCCCACATGTGCCATTAAATGTGGAATATGACATCATTCAAATTCCAGGCTCGGCTTCTTACAGTGGCACGGATCCGAGTGGTCCAATTTTCAATGACTCTTCTGCATAGATCCGGATGAATTTAAATTCTGGGAAGGTGTGTGTTATGTGCACGTTAGGGCATTGGTTGATTCCCCCCCGAATGGGTTCCCGCCTTGTCGTGGCGGGGGGGCTTAGTAGCCGTGGCTTGGTCTCCCACGGTGAACAAAGAGGAACCCACGTGGCTGGCCCGAGGTGAAGGGCCGGCCTGAGGTGGCCACTCCGAGTGGGCTTGGGGAGCCCACTTTGGATGTGTGCTGGTGAACTGCAGCGAGTGGGGACTCGCGCACCCTCTACCGCTGCAGCCGAGGTGGAGTTGCGGAGGAAGAGGAGTGTTGGTATGGAGATGCGCCACTCGCCCTATCCTTCGCGACTCAAACGGGGCCGCACCGTTGATGCGGTGGTGGTGGGGCTGCGGGGGGGAGAGGATTGTCGGTATTGCGAGGCGCCGCTCTCCCTACCCTCCGCAGCCGAATCTTGGTTGGCGGCGGAGCCATAGACCAGATCCGCCGCTGGGGTCGGGAAGACTAGTACTTCTAAGTGCTCGTTTTTCCTGGCCCGTTGTGCATCGGACGCGGGGGCGTCTATTGCACAGACGTAATTGGAGGCCGTGGAGGAAGGCGCGCCATGTGTTCTGGTGCGCCTTACCTGGGAAGGAGAACGGGGAGGAATTTTCCTCTCCCGAGGAGGTGCTGCCATGGGGCGGCAGGCGCTAGCAGGGCCGCGGATGTGTGCGAAAGCGTTCCCGTAGCCCTGCCAATATGCGACAAAGGTGGAACACCATGAGGTTTTAGTTGGTGCGAGTCCGACATAACCCGTCCTTGCCCCCGCGAGGCAGGTATGCGTAGGCATTTCCCCATGTAAAAAAAAGGGCATTGGTTGATTGTAGTTTGTTTGCATAGACCTTATGAATCACACAGGAAATCAATAGATGTAGGTAGCTCAGGACCGTACTTTGAAGCATTATATGAGGAAATTCTATGTTCAGTTTAAGCCCACTATCTTCTCTCTAAGCAGGATTGCCATTATCTATACTAGTGGTAGAATGACGACCGCAGTATCGGACGTCTCGCACCTTTGACGATTCTTCATGCCGCTGGTCTGACTTCACCTCTTATCACATGGAAATATTAAATGAACAAATATGATTTTGTTTTAATAGACAGATGGCATTTAATTTGACCATGGCGCTTTATTTCCTATTGGAAAATCCGTCCCTCTCGCACCATGCGCACCTCCTTATCGAATTATACTACAAATAATTTGAGAGGAGTATATTAATTCGGACCTTTCATGACTTTCATGACGTGAGATGGCATCCACATACACTCTGTGATTTCCTCTATCAGTTTTGAGGTGTCGTGTAGATCCAGGGCAATATATTTATTATGTGTGTTAATTGTAGAATAAGTTGAGCACTCTAATTAAAGTTATAGAAGGAACAATACGTCTATCTTATTGACACCTACCAACTTTACAGTATGAAGTCAATATGCGTTCATGTTTAGGTTTGTTATTAAGTATTCAGCGATTCTTTTGATAGCCCCTGTGGGGTAAGATAGAATGCATTGTTTCTAGAAGAAACGGTCTCCGGTTCTCTACACAACAGCACGATGAAACACAGCAGCATCAATATGCTATACTACGATGGTATTCTGTGAGAGTGCAGTCCTATCCCGGTCGAGCTGATGCTACCCTTATAATATAGCTGCAGTGTGTTTTTACCACATTTAACTTCTTACTAATTTAACCGTGTATACTAGGTCTAAATTTTATCTAATAATTTTTTTTGTTTTAAATTAAAGCAAACGTCTAATTTACTGTTGTAAAATTTCAGTGCGCAGGTTGCATGACAGTAGGTCTTATTGGTCAGCCAGCACCTTCTTCTTCGCCGGGTACCTTCACCTTTGGAATGAATTGGGGTATAGCATATGAGCTTCCAAACACAACAGAAACAGCTCGATTCTACCACAAAAAATATAGAAAACCGGTTGCCCAAAGAAGAAGCAGGCGAGAACTCTACGAGAAGATAGAACTGATCCTTGATAAGTAAGTTGATAAACAAATTGTGTAATAACATGTGAAATTTAGTGAAAAGCAGTGTCTATTATATTAACAATTTTATAAATTTCGTAACCGATTTGATAATTATTTTTATGACATAGACAAATATTCAGCAGGGATGAGATATGATACGGATATAGAACGACGAGTGAATGCAGGAAATAAAGTAAATGGGGTTTTACACTTTATTGTGAAAAGTCAGAATATGTCCAAAAAGGCTCGTATGGAAATTCATAATGCTGTGTTAGTCTCTACTTTAACGTATGGTAGTATGAGTTGGGTGTGGCAGAAGAAGCACGAGAGTAGAATAAATGCAGTAGAAATGTGGTCGCTAAGGAGTATGTTAGGGCTAAATCTGAGTGACAGGGTGAGAAATTGTGGGATAAAAGAAGAGTGTGGCTTGCAAGATGATGCTGTGACCAGGATTAAGAAAGGAATGTTTGATCATATAGAAAGAATGAATGAGGAAAGAGTTAAAAAGCAAATTTATATTGCAGAAGTAAATGGAAGAGTCAGAAAGGTACGTCCTAGGCGAAAGTTTATCGACCGATATATTAAAAATGGGCCAAATTAGGAGTACCCTTAACTGACGAGCATGTATGTGTATGTATATGAATGTGGAGGAGGCGAGAGAGGTGTGTCAGAATCGTGCCAAATGGAAATCTGTAGTCTCTGCCTACCTTTCTAGGTGACAGGCGTGAGTATTTATGTTATATTATGTTTACATACACAAATAACACATCAAAGGTGGTCCAACATAAGTTTGAAGTGGAAATTCTACTCTTCAGGGTGGCAAAATAGGGGGTAAATATTTTAATGTAACTATCGAAATGACATTGACATTGTAATATTCTTCAACTTCTCAGTCCACTCAAAAAAGGTAAAATATTTAAATATTAATAAAAAGTGAAAAGTAAGGTGTTAATACATATTGTTCAGTTATTAAATTTAAGCCCTTACTCCAGAATGTGAAATTATTTTGTTCGTTTTAAGTTTTTGAAGTTGATGTTTACTTTTTATTAATATTTTCTCCAAATGCCAACAGCATCAGCACACGCGGTTCAGTATGTTAATTGACGGACGAAGCTTTAGCAATCAATTATTTGCGGAAAATCCATCCAATGTTTTTAAACTCAAATTTTACGGACTAAGCAAATCAAACATCACACACCAATCAGAGTTCAAATTAAAATCAGACAATTCAAAATAGCATGACCAAAACTTTGAAATCATGCTTGCCGACTATATTCAGAGTGAGAAATTATATAAAAAAATAGTTAATTTGTTGGTACAATAATATTTAATTTCTTTCACAATCGGCCAAAGTCCAATGCTGGACATGCGGCTACCTTATACAGAGTTATTTTTCAATAGCCGGCCTAATTTTCAGAGAAGGTTCAGAATAAATAATATAGGCAAATGACAAATTTATTAAAAACACCAAACATTCTGTGCTTTTTATCTTTTAAATTCAAAATGCATGGCAATGCATTACTGACATAACAACGTCTAATAAATCAATGAACGCTGGCTGCACGCACGAAAAAGAATAACTCATTGTAACGTTACGCTAATTGTAACGTTACGGTCGAAGCGAGAGCGCTGCACGAACGAGCGAAGGGCACGATTGGCTTGACCGTAAAAGTAAATTTATCAATAAAATTGTAGATTTCATTTCACTCCTTCTTTGTATCCATACAAAATAGTGATAATTAAATAAAAATGATTCAACTTCATTCAAAAAAGTATGCAGTCATTTCATCAATGTTTTGTTATTACGTTGTCACGGTAAACTATCGTCCGTAAACCGACATTGCAGACAACAATTTTTTTTTACTGCGAACACACACTTTTGTAGGGGTCGATAAGCAAAAACATAGTTGCACGTAAATCACATTCAATTTGGGATAATCTCAAATAAAAGTAGAAGCCTTATTGAAATTGCAATAACGGTATATTATTATTTATATATTTGCTACCGAAAGCTGGTTTGACTATAATGTGTGGTTATATCCCAATCTGTATTTCCCTTAGTAATCTCTTGCGACATCCGTAGGACATAATAGCGTGACCACCATATGTTAAGTATGTCGTTTAATTTATTAAAATGAGTAAGAGATCCGTAGCTCCTCAAAAAGGATATAAGATTACTCCACACAAAAAACATGCGATCAAGTCTTCTGATGAAAATCCGCCGAAAGTTTTATTTCTTTCATTATTTCACTTTTTCACCTTAGCTCGCTTTATTTTATTAAACTTTTTCGCGTTATATTGTCCCCATTCCCTTACAGGATTCTCAAAGTTTATACAAAAAATACAAGCGTTCTTTAAAATATGTCGCCTTTGGGCATATAGTCAATCTCTTTCCCAAAAAAAATCTTTTTGTCTAATGAAGTTGAGTTATGTTTCCCTAAAAGTAAAATAGCCTTTTTTCATTTTGAAATTGTTCGTTAATTTGTTGGACCTTGAGTTCGGTCGTTGATGTTTTTGTTTTATAACGTTTATATTTTTGCTACATGATTATTTTTAATGCTATTACACCAAAAAATCGAGAGAGTCTCTGAGAGAAAAAAAAATTAAAGAAATAAATATATTAACTGTGGCCTATCATATCTCGTATATCCACGAAAATTTAATGTATGTTCACTAAAACAACGTTTTAAGTAAAAAAAGTGATATACACTCTGCAAATACTAGGTACAAACACAAGCTAGTGCTACCAGTTTCTCGACTCCACAAAGTCATTCTTAGGGCAACGTGTACGCTATTACAACAAAGTCCTAGAAAATATACAAGGTCTCTCTATTACCAACTTTAAATATTTAATTAAACAAAAACTCTATAAAAGGGTTATTATAATATAAATGAATACATGGTTGATAATAACCCTTGGGATTGAGGTGGTCGCTTCCGAGCTATTTCTAAAATAAATTTTGTTAATATTTTGTAACCATTCACTTTGTAAATTTTTATTTAAAAAAAATTCGTTGACCCTGCAGGTATCCCTGGAACTTTCTGCTAATTTCAAATGTAAAGCGCTCCAAATTTCACCAAATAATGTTGTGAAATCTTGAAGTTATGTTAAAAAAATTGTCTTTTTTAAATTCTTTCTCCTTCGATATCTCACGAACGAATAAACCGATTTTTTTATTTTCCATTTTTTGAGGTTTAGAGATGATTAGTTTTTGAAATTGATTGGTAAAGCCGTTTAAAAGTTATAAAAAAAAAACAGTTTTCCAAAATCACCACTCGTCCGAATCAGTTCATATTATCACCAAATCTATTCCACATTGAGATCCTTAGAATGCCGCAAACCGCATCTCAATCGCTCAAGACGTTCAAAAGATATGAAAAGTTTACATACTTACACACACACATGTACATACGTACATCCGTACGGACGTCTACGTGAAATTAGTCAGAATAGCTTCCTGGGAGCTCAAAACGTCGAGATCTGATGAAAACTCGATTTTCGAAAATCGAGGTGAAACCAATTTCGAAAATTTTCAATTTTCTTAGCGAGAAGTTAAAAAAGTCTCGCTGTGTTTCTTGCTGGTTCTTGCCAGGACAGAGATTTTTTTCGAACCAGTGGTAAATTAAAAAATGATTTTCAATAATAATTACTTGTGTATTTATGAGGATGTTCGCACGGTAGCGGAGTAACAGATCCCATCAATTTATTTTATTTTATCATATGGGTTCCGTAAGAAGCTACTATGGTAACTGCAGAAAGAAGTATCATATGACTTTTCGATAGATGCCAGTAAATAAGTAAAATTAATAATAAATTGTTTTTGTCAGAAGTAAACTAGCCAGAACAGGGACGGGAATTACCGTTAAAAGTTTGCGATATCTGACTGTTGCGCCATAGTATAATAAAGACAGCGCTGTCTCAATTCGTATTGAGAGACACCACATATCCGCGAAATATTTTATACGTCAGATATGGAGATTTTATCACTCTTCTCTAAAGAACACGAGATAAAGCAGCACATAAGATTTGGGTTGTTTGTTTTCTCTAAAGCTAAACGCCTCGGGATATTACGGCTCTTGATGATGACCAATGGGCAATATATTACAAAGGTTTAATAATAAAATGTTACTCGCATTCTAACAAAAAACACCACAAATTGGAAAACGGTTAAGCTATTCGTTGAGCAATGACTGATTAAAAGTAAGGTAGCAGGCTAATAAACTAAACTAACTCGATTTGCGACAGCAATACTCAAACACGTCTCTTTGGCTTCGTTACTTGGCACCGACTCCTATAACGATCGCTAATTAGGACGCAAACATATACGCGAATATATTATGTTAAATGTCGTGTCAAATTAGCCACAGCATAAATAATAGTACTATTAGTACTATTATTTATTCTGATTTTGTTGACACGACAGGAATGCTATGATTAAGATTTTTGATACGATATATAGAAATGGGTATTCCTCATAAAAATAACCTAAAGTTAAAATCTATACTATACGTTCTAATGTCAGGTACAGGCTAGCCACCTACGCAGAACAGGATTATAGTGCACGGTCTGATGGCTAACATCAGTGCCTAACTTGAAAGAATCATAATGCTTTTTAATACCACCATGAAATCACCAGTCCGTAAGCGTTACAGCATATTAAAAATATTTGCAGAACATAGGCCTTATCATAAATTATCTTATAGGGGAGATTTAATACCACAGTGACATAGCAGCTTAAAACTGCTTTGTTTTGTATGGTTAGTGTAGAGAAGCGGAGACCCTTTCTAAAGGAAATAAAACTTCCATCTTAGTCCTCAGGGATGATGACACATCTGCATTTTGATTCTAACCGAGGATAAATATAGATGTCTACAGGCCAAAGCATCCACTTACTATCAGATGTGTTGTGTTAGTTTGTCATCCTTATTCTATAAAAAATAATTGCCATGGTTACCACATATAGCAGGAGAGTTGGCAATCGCAGTTTTTAATTTTTCAGTTCTTATTAGGAAGATGCTACTGCTCACATCCTGATTTGTTTCCAAAGAATAACCAGAAACCACTAAAATCACCAGTAACCATTTTTTTTCAGTATCATGCTGAAGTTTACTATATGACGAATAACTTTATAATATATTTCGTACAAAAATTTCAGTATGGGCTACAGTGGTAGACAATGTATACTCAAGACACTTTGCGAAACAACCCAGCGCATTGTCCCACATAGCACAAACATGGTGGAGGAGATATTCCGAACACTTTTTACGTAAGTATTCGTTTAATTACTTTTCTTGTATATTTTTTTTTTTGAATAAAATACGTTCATTAAGGATCTCTCTTATCGTGAAGACGTTTTACATATACATAAATTGCTCACGACCAAAATCACAAGTCTGGATTTTTTTTTGTATAATATATTTTACAAAAAACAAAGGGATGGGAAGGAAAGGGATATAATAAAAACAGAGATTTCTTAAGTAATTTGATCAAATTACGAAGGATGTTAACAGCACGATTTTATCATTTCTCTAAACAATTCTAGTGATTTGAGCAAATAACAGAACTGATTCCGTAAATTAACAAAAACAATTTTTTATGGTATTACAAGGTTTGTTTGGTAATACAAACACAATTAATAATTAGGTGTAATATTATGCAAAATTGAGCTCAAAATTCACAACTAGCTTAAAGATTTGAAACGAATGAATAAAGTTTGATGAATTAAGTTTTTAAAAGTTACGTATGGTACGTATAACAATTTAATAATTGTTGTTATTCATTTATTAAAACACGTAGCAGATTTGTGGTACCGTAAATTACAAAGAAAATTGTTTTTCTTACAAGCACATTTATTCGTTTTGCATCGTACTTTGGACATTTGGCAGGAACATTGTTTGAAACATTTCCCTCCATATAAATATAATTTTTCTGCAATTTTACGCAAACTCAGTTAAGTCGCTAGAACTGAATCGGTTAATGTAGCTGTAGATATTTGAAGAGCGTTTCTTGGAAGCCAATCTCCTGTGATGCCAACTGAAGTACATTGTTACAATTGAAGTATATTGTTTTCGTGTCTAATACAATCTCTGTAATATTATTTGCAACTATTGGTCCTCCTTCCACTTTAGGAAAATCAACCAAAACGGTGGAATCAACTACGTAGCACATTCTTCCGATCCATGTCCTCCTTCGCTTGTCCTATTGCCACATATTGCGTCCACTGAGTTTCAGCAAATGTCACATGAATGCTCTCCTTTAGATTCTTGTTCACAAACAATAAAAATATTTTCTATACTCTCTCAACTGATTCGCTTTCTGATACAACATGTGGTCCAACTGTTAACTCATGTGTTAAAATAGCCTCTTTATTGAATTACGCGTGTCCAAGTACAGAAGTCAAAGTGGTAACAGTAGGAGAATAAGACGGTATGGCCGAGGTACCAGTTACGATTCGCTTTGAAATCGATATCGATGTGGTAACATTAGAAGATTCTGTCGAAATGATGGAGGTAGCATATAAAACTCGTTCCAAAGTTGAACTGGTGTCTGCAATTGATTCAATCGCCAGTTTTTTCTCTGAAATTGTAGCGTTGTTTTCAATTAATTCAGAAGCTGATACGTTTTGCTGTTTAAAAAATGATTCAAATCCTCTTAAGTAACTAACTTGTTTAGTAATTTAGTTGAAATATGAGTAGATTGGAGTTCTGTTTTTGGTTCGGTTTTAAATAAGGCTTTGTAAAGTGAACGTTTAATGGTACGATGCCCAATTTTTAGTATCATTGTCAATTAACCAAGCCCGTAACGTAGCTGCGACATCTTGGTTTGCAAGGTCAACTGACCATTGACTCGCAGGATATCTAGGTCTTCCATTGATAATTTTGCATGTAGGTCACATGGTAGATAATATTTTGAACTAGCTGTTACCCGCGGCTTCGCCCGCATGGTCACTGGGAAATGAACTATTCATTGCTTTTTGAATTGAAAGAAAACTGAGTTTTATAGATTTGTCAGAGATGCAGCCATTAAAAGGAAACTGAGAAAATAGATTCGTCAGCCTATTTAAATGTTTTGAAACGCAGCGTATAGGAAAGCATGAAAATAGCCTGTTTATTGGATGGAGACTTTTGAAAAGAAACTGAGCTAAATTGATTCGTCAGAGATTTTGTTTTCTGAATTGAAAGGAAACTGAGCCAAATAAAACATCCGTCAGAGATGCAGCCTTTTGAGTTGAAAGGAAACTGAGCTTAATAGGTCCGTCAGAGGTGCAGCATTTGGAATTGAAAAGAAACTGAGCTAAATAGGAAATTTTGAATTGAAAGGGAAGATCTGTAGGAATTCTGATTAATTGATTGTGGGAATTTTGAAAAAAAAAAAAAAACTAACTGAACACTATTTTAAGACGCTAATGTACACAATGTTATATGTTTTTCCATTCGGGGAAAGAATGTGGAGATTCTGGGCATTTGACACACGCGAACATGCTACATACAGCTGACCATGAGAGAAGCACGGGTTTTCTAAGTTGAGCCCCGCTACCTGTAAAGTTTGCCCTTGCGCTTTATTGTCATTGCAAAACTGAGATTAATAGGGAACTGCAACCTTTTGAATTGAAAAGGATGATCTGTGGGAATTATAGGGATCCGTGGTATAATAACATTTTCACCTTTTCCTACGCCTGCCAAATTGTAGCACCGATTATGTTCCGTCCAAGATGTGTCACACGAAGCCTTGTCCCATTACATAACCGAGGAGCATCCAAATTTCGCATTAGCATGACTGGGACACCTAATTTTAATTGAAGCTTATGTGAGGGCACACCTGACATCTCTAGAGAATTTAGAAACTCTACGGGATATGAAGTGCTCTGTTCTGTGTCTATAACTGTGTCTACTGACAAATACTCTGTTATTTCTCCTGCTACTTCGCTTAATATATCTGAATTTATTTTGTTAACGCTCTCATTTTTTGGTGCAAGAATCGCCCTTTCACATAACTATTTGTCTTCATGCATGTTGTTTGTTAAATCTGAATAAACGCTCGCAATTAATTCGAAATGACTCTGTACTAAATTACAAAAATATCTCGTCAATTTAACGCAGCCCTCAGCATCCGTTTCCAACCGCCCATCACCAATTTTTAATAGTGTCAGCATAGTTTGCAGCATTGATATCATTATACAAATGCACTCTTATATTCGTAGTTAAACTGAATTTTGTCACCTTGTTCCATAAAGTAGACGACTTGAGGGATGCTTTAATTTCATCTGCAAGTGTACCCTTTTGAATGACAGTTAAAGTTTGGCGAAAGTCACCAGCCAGTAAAACCACCATTCCTCCCATTACATCGGTATTGCTGAGCAAATCCTGGAGCGTTCGATTTAGTTGCTTCATTACTGTTCGATTTAGATGCTTCTAAAGCTTTTTTATGCGACATTGTACTTTCGTCCCACACTAAAAGTTTGCATTGTCGTAGCATTATACCTCGTGCACTATTTTTGCTAAAGTTGCAGATCGGCGATTCTTCCTGGGCTAGATTTAGAGGGAGTTTTAAAACAGAATGTGCAGTGCGGCCCCCGCTTCGAAGCGTGACTGCTATACCTGAGGAAGCTACGGCCACAGCAATGTTTTTATCTTTCCGTAGTTGCGCTAATAATAAATTTAACAAAAATGTCTTCCCAGTTCCTCCAGGGGCATCTAAAAAGAAAAGTGCACCATTTCAAGATTCAATTTGTCCTAATACATTGTCAAAAATTCGTTTTTGTTCGAGAAGCAAGCGGGGTACAAATTCTGCTATTTGCTGCTGCAAATTTGGTATATCATAGTTTGTTTCACATATAATTTTATCACTTAGTTCATTTTCGGTTGTTCGCTGAGGGCTTATCATTCCAAAGTCGCTTAATTTTTTGCCTGCCATTGCTATTACTTTATCTTCAATTTTTCCTAGTGCTTCATTATAAATGTGGTCATTGTATGTTATATTCAGCTGTGTCTGCTGTAACCTTCGCGAAATATCTTCCGCCATGTACTCTTTATATTTGTCCCACAATTCATGTGCATTAGATAGCCCGCAATATGATATGAGAGTTGCATAAAGATCCCTAGTTTTGGCTGGTGACTGGCACTGCACAGCTTCTTCCATGGTTTCATCCAAGTGATTATCGTTTTCTAAAAGATGCAGAGCTTCACATGCTTCTCTATAAGTTGCGCATTCCTGACCGTTGACAGTTTTAAGGTCCGAACATGGTTCAGCAGCAATCGTAAACAGAAACATTCAAAATTTGTTATATGGACGGTATACACACGTCCAAGGGCATCTGATAACTTTACACCGGGCTAATTTGCAACAGGCGCGCCTTGAATACGGCGTTTCCACTCTTTCCTAGATGTGTTCCAAGTATAATAGCGGAGGACTTCAGAATATAACAACGTTTTTGCAAAGGGGTCGGTTTGACAAAGTTGAAAGAAAACTGTTAGTGTAGTTTTTGGCAGTGATGCAATTCTTTCTTGGAAATTTCTTTCCATGAAATATACACGCTCTCCATTTTCTAAGTGCACAGCAAGGTGAGTAACTGTTGGGTGCCTTTCGTGTAAAGGGAAGCCAAGGAGACGCCATGCTGCCTCGTTACTGCTGACATAACGCCTTGCTTGAAAGGTCTGTACTTCATTAACGGAATTTGCTTCACCTTTACTCCTGAGATTAAATATTGCTTGGTTGCTTCCTTTATTTGTGTACTTACAGATATACTTGATTGCGCGGAAAGAGCTACATGCTTCTACATTAATGTGGGCATTACACATTTTACATAGAATGGGTGAATACGGGACAATCCAGCAGTTATCTAAGGTTTCGAACGCTCCAGAGCGAGATTTGATTGTAACTTTCCTGCCACCATCTTCGGGAGCTCTGCGTCTGTATAAAGGGTATCCATTGTCATTGTGCACTGTTTCTTTTAATAGCTATTTTAAAGCGCTGCAAAATCGACACACCTTGTCCATCAGTCCGATAACAACTAACCTGTGATTTTTATAATCAATCAACGGATCATAATTGAATGCTGCGTCATTAAAAACTGACCATTTGTTTCTTTGAAAGTTTTGTGGACGTTCAGCTTGGAGCTGTGCATTTGCATCTCTTCGCACCTGTGTCTGTTCTGGTGTTTCAGATACCCTTATAGTAGATTGACGTTCAGCTTGCTCAATGGGTCTATGTTGAGTTTCATCAGGTGTTTCCGCGGCTCTTAAGGCGGCCTGACGTTCCGCTTGTTCG